CCTGAAATCCATGAGCCCGTCTTCGTCTCACGTTTGCTACCTGCGTCAATTCTCTCCCCTGGTATCCGTGATGTCCATCCATCTCTCTCTCGGTTGCGTCTTTACCACGCGATCCTCGTCTTGCGACCGACCACTCTCACCGTCCGCGCGAGAGCAAATGAGCGGGAGAATACGTAGAGGGAGATGGAGAGGGAGAGGGAGAAGGAGAAGGAGAGAAAGAGAGACAACGGCTTGGAGGAGCGTGAAGACCCGCACCATTGCCCGAGTATCTTTCTCTCTTTCTCGATCAAGAGTAGGAGGACGAAAGACGATCGCTGGTGCTGGACCATGAGGAAGAAAGAGAGAGCGAAATAATAAGACGCTAAGGGCCAAAGGAAGAGCGTTCGAAGGGAAGGTTATATAGGGTGCAGGTAAACGAAGGGTAAGCGAGAGAAGTGAAGAGAAGAAGGAGGATTCAAGAGCGAGGGAGGCTGAAAGACCGGGAAGGAAAAAACGCGGGTGAGCGAGCGGGAGAGAAATAATGCGATGGAGGAAGGGAGAATACGCGGACGCCGTGTGCGAGCGTGTGTGGAACACACGAATTGAGCGGAGGGGAGAGCTCGAGACACGGAGCCGTGAGCGGGATGCTGGGAGGCGGCGGCGGCCATGTTGCCGTATGCCGAGAGAAGAGAGACCGATTCGAGAGACCAGCGTGAGGTCGCTTCGTTTGTTGCTTGCTGCGGTGCAAGTCTAACTTTGATACGGTTTTAAATTCCACTGTTTGCGCAGATTAAAGTGGTGCACGCTTTACCCTCATTTACGTTCACCTCCGTTGGTTTCCAACTCCGTTTCTAATTCCAAAATGGTCATCTTTTAGTCGGTCGATCGGTAGAAGTGGTTCCAGTGGTTTGTGTGCGACAGCAACATCGTCATCGTCGCCGTGAACTTGCGAGCAGTGTGCCCGAAGCCGGTGCGCGATTGGAAATACCAGTGGTGCACGGACAAATCGAGCGAGACGCTGACGGGCGCACGATTTCGCGGACCATCTCTATCGGTGCGCGGGGAACGTAGCGAGCCCGAAGCGGCCGACGGCGATGTTCGAGACTCTGCGGGACGTTGCGCGTAACGATGTGCACGTAGTGTGAATCGCGGGTGTGATATCAAGTGAACGAACGATAAAGAAAGATCCCTTTACCGAGATCTTGTATCCCTCGCGGAACTATCGGCTTTATCGGAGAAGACGAAGAACAGAAGTGAGAAAACTGAACGAAAAACCCGCCGGGCCCCTGCAGGGTGCCCCTTATAGAGCAAAACGGTTTTAACGTCAGCGAATTCGCCGGGTAATCGAACGCTTCGGTACACGTCGCAGGTGGTGACACTATCATCCGTTGAGATGTGATCCAGAACATAGGAGGGACGCTCAGTAGTTTGTAGTTGGTCCCCATCCTCCCCCCTTATATCACCCCCCTCCCTCCCTACTAGCCCCCTTGCAA